CCCCAAAACCCCAAAACCCCATCAGTGAAATATTAAAATATTTGAAGGAAAATAGTCGTTGATTATTAAATTCATAATTTATAAAAATATCAAGATAAAATGCGGTCCTAATCTGTTAAAAGAGATTGTCGAAGACACTCTTACTCAAGATCTGGCTAAGCTATTAATGCAAATAATTTTTACCAAAAGAATATGGATGTTTTTAACTTTCAAACTCTAAAATAAACATCAAATCAATTCTACCCCTAATAAGATAGATCGAATTCAAAGAGTAGGCTAACTAACAACTACAACTCTAGAACTAGTAAAAATAACAGTATCGATTAAAATATAAGCATAAATGGAATGTCAACTTAGCAATTTTAGTAGAGAAGACCCTCGCAAAATGCACTTAACAAATTTACTACAACGTAGAGACTGCCTTCTACATCAAATCTTGTAAAAAACTAGAATCATTTCGGTGATATTGTAATTAGAAATTTTCAACAAAAAAACGAACAGTCATTTTACTCAAACCATAATTAATAAGATAAATCTGTTTATTCTCCAGATACATCAGCCACATATTCAAAAACTTTGCAGGTTAACTCGAATATATATTTGTAAAACGATATGGTTTAGCAAATCTAAAGATATGAAGAATAACTGAAATTTTTAGACAATTATAGGATAATTTGTGAAAAAAGAATTCTTGATCTCTAGCCATCTCATCCGTTGCCAGTTCTACCATCTCATATTGGTCAAAGTAATAGTAGAGATGAGGAATTTACACTCGGAGGTAATCAAACACCATGTTAGTTTGATGCTTTATCAATAATTCAGTCTAAAAGAGACTCCTTGAACTAGCAGGAAATTGAGAGACTTAGAGTTTAAGTTGATGATTTACTATCTGAAAAACAATAAATGGTGGATGCTCTAAATAAGGAAACACTGATGAATGAACAACAAAAGGCATAAATACAAATACTGAAAAATTCTCTTGATGAGAGATTAACGAATCAGAATCTTGATGAGTTTCTGGTAAAATCATAAAATAACTTAATGAGAGGTATGGGGCCATCAGACTCCTATATTTTAATCTAAGAAATGAAAAATGAAATAGATACTAAGTCAAGTTCAATGATTGAACTTATTTAAAAGAATGAATAACTAGAATAGTAATATAAGCAGGTCACTGAAGTATATTACGATTATAAGTCACTTCTTGAAAAGAAAACCCTATAACTTGCTTAACTTGAGAAAGATCATTCTATACTAAGCTAAAATTATTAAAAAGTCAAGTAAGATTTTGATCAAGCTGAGAAAGATAAGGATTAACTTTTGGATTGTATAGAGGAAAATTCTCTTTAATTCAAAAGCTTTAATGGATTGATTGAGTCTGAAAGAGAAAAAGTAGAAGAAATAACTTAGCAAAAGTAAATGTACAAGCATCTTTATCAAGAAGCTTAAGATAATTTAAACTTGGAGGCAGTTTAAACGGAGAAGTTCAAGATGGAAAAAGATGCACTTTCAAAAAAAGTTAGTGAATTGGAAGGAAAACTAAAAGAAATGAAATTAGATCTAAAAGGAAATATTGAAATTATTTCAAAGCAAACTGGATTGATAAATGAATCTAATAGTATAATTGAGGAACTTAACAAGCAAATCTAAAATTAATAAGATTTGCTTCAAAATAAGCAAAACGAAATTAAGTAAGCTTCAGTAAAGCTAAATGAAACAGAATGAGAGTATTCTCAACTGAAATCAGAGAGAGATAACTTTGACAAAAGTATGGAAGAATTATAGCAGCAACTTTAGTAATTCAAAGAAAGCAATGATCAAATTTCAAATGAATTAGAAAGTCATTATCAATAAGAATTAGACTCTATGTAATAAAACCTTGAGACAGAGAAAAAGAGATATGATGAAACGAGACAAAAGTAGACATAGTTCATTGAGAAACAAGCTTAAGATCTAATAGCTTTTGAAGAATAAGTCAAAGAATTGAATAATGAAAATATGTAAATGTAAAAGTAAAACAATGAACTCAATGAATATATTGAAATTCTCAATTAAGAAGTTTAGAGATTAAAGTCTAGTGAGGAATCCCTTAATTCTAAATTTGAGATTGTAAAATAAGAGATTTTAGAGAAAGAATAATAATTCAATGCGCAAAAAAATTGTTTTGATGAAGGAAAAGCTAATTTAGCTCAATCTATCAATGAAAATTAGAAACTTACTTAAGTTTAAGCGACACTCACTGAAGAAATTAGGATATATGTGGAGGAAAATAAGAAAATTTAATAGGATAATGAGAGATTGATTTAAAAAATATAGGATTAAGATTAGGATGTGGAAAATTTAAGGTCTTTAGTTCGAAGAGAATAATTAGAAAATAAAGATCTTAAAGAAGAAATTGAATAGCAAAAATCTAAAACTTATGAAATTGAGTTATTATTAAAAGAAGCTCAAAGAAAATTTGAGTAGATATAAAGAGAATATGAAATAGTATAAAACTAAAATTCTCTATTAGTCAGTGAAAAATAGATATATGACAAATTGATACAAGACTTAAAAGAATACGAGCTGAGGGAAGCTTAAAATGAGGAGAGCTTGAAGCAGGCTTCTGAAAAGATTGAAATGCTAAACTCCACAATAGAGGAGTTGAAAGTTTAGATAATTGAGAAATCATAAGAATTATCTCAAGCTAAAGATGATAATAGACAATAATATGATTAGTTCATTGACATTAAGCAGCAACTTATGGACACCAAAACTTTAAATGAGTCTGTTACCCAAGAGAAAAAAACTGTAGATTAATAACTTTGTGATATATCAAGAAAACTCTATGAACTTATCAATCAAATGTAGGATTAAGATAATAAATACGAATAAGTAATGGATCAATTAAATAAATCTCACCAGCAGATCTCACAGTTAAACTCAATTTAAGAGCATAGTTAAAGAGAAAAAGAATAAATTTTAGCATAATACCAAGTCATGAAGTAATAGGTTCAAGAATTCACAAATAGTTCCTAGCAATGGTCATTTAAATCAGATAATCTGAATTCAAGTATGCAGAAAATAATTATAGTCCTAAAGTAGTTCTTTGACTCAATGGTCTAAAATAAGGATTTAATTGAAGATCTAATCACTGAGGAACTGTTTAATGATATAAAAGGCTTATATGACTAATTTAAAAGCATTGAATTCATTGAGAATATTGATTAATCTATCAGTATCTCATCGAAATTGGTTGAGATCTTAAACCTCGTGAAAATAATTTAGGAAAAAGTGATATAGGAGAATTAGTAAAGTAAGCAAGACCTGAGAGTAATGGATGACTCAATATAACAGCTAGAGCAGAGATTAAGTTCTATATATGCTAATGATGTTTATTAACAAGAGAAATAGTAATAATTAAGCACTGAGATTGAATAGCTTAAGGAAACTAGACAGAAGGATCAATAGGAAAATGAAAATCTAAAAAGAAATTTAGACCATAAATCAAATCTAATTGACTAGCTCCATAGGTAACTTAATGAGTTAAAAAATCAAAAGATTAATCTATCTGACAGTGATGCAGAATTCAAAGAGCAGTAGATTAAATTGCTAAACAAAGAAATAAAAGATTATGAAGAATTCATTTAATTAGTATACCAAAACACATTCAAAGGTGACCAATACATCCAAGAAGAGTTGCAGCTAATTCTCAATATTCTTAGAGATAGATACAATGAGGAAAATCTAAAACTCAAGTATGAAGTTGAAATCTTAAACTATGAGAATGAACTTTAATCACTTTTGCAATCTAATAGCAAAGTAGACCAAGTGTCCCATGCATAGAGAATCAAAAATGAATTAGTAGAGATAGAAAGAAGAATTGAATTGCAAGATAGAAAAGTTATTGAACTAGCTCAACGTGAAAACCAATTGAAAAATTAACTTTTATTTGACTTGGAATCCTCAATTAAAAATAAAAGTATGTCTCAAGACAATGATCAAACTGTAGTCTCACTTTTTAAAGAAACTTAGAGCCTGTAAAATGAACTTTAAAATAAGAATAAGATGATAATCGAATTGCAAAATCAGATAATTCTTTCTAGATCAGCAAACAGTCCATTCTAAGGAGATTATTTATCATCAAATCATAGTTAAAGCTAGATAGAGGATAACCTTAAATCAGCTTCAAGCAGATCTCCATTTAGCGTGAAGTAAAATTCATTTAACTACTAAATGGCAGAAGCTAAAGCTTTAATTGAAAAAGCTGGTCTGAGTATGACTGAAAATGAAAAACCCAAAAAGAGATTAAACATCTTAAACCTAAGACATGTTGAAAATTATAACAAAGACACTAAGAAATATGAAAACAATGAGAACTTTAACTAATCATAGTCAAACCCTTAACTATAGAGTATTGCGAATCTGAAGAAAAAATCGCAACTTGAAAATTTCAACCTTAATTTGTCTAACAACTAGTAAAATAAGTCATAAACATAGTGTAAAATTAATATGAGAGAATTGATATCCCCAGAAGGATCGTCGGCTAATCTTTTGCAATACTTAAAGAAAAACAATCCATACAGTAAAGATAGCAAGGAAAACATTGATAGACTACAAACTCAAAGTGATGCTAGCTTGAAAACTGAAGCCAATAGATATTCAAGACATCTTTGAAGAAACTCAATGTTATTTGACAATTAACTTTGATTATAATTCTAATTTACATTAATTTCTATTTCAATGATCAATCTGTATTCTGGGGTTTTGGGGTTTTGGGGTTTTGGGG